ATTGGCAGGCGGATTCTTAACCACTGCGCCACCAAGGAAGTCCCTCTCTTTTATTTATTTATTTTATTTATTTTTATTTATTTATTTTGTTTGCTTGTTTGTTTCATGGTACGCGGGCCTCTCACTGTTGTGGCCTCTCCCGTTGCGGAGCACAGGCTCCGGATGCGCAGGCCCAGCGGCCATGACTCACGGGCCTAGCCGCTCCGTGGCATGTGGGATCTTCCTGGGCGGGAGCACGAACCCGTGTCCCCTGCATCGGCAGGTGGACTCTCAACCACTGCACCACCAGGGAAGCCCCCAATATTTATATTTTTGTGAATAAAAGTTATATTTTAGGTTGTGATGGGTATCTGTAAGTATGTAACTGAAAGATACAGCAATTTTCCATAAATGCATAAATAATGAAACTCACTAGATGTAACACTTTCCAAATGCTACGTGTTAGCACAAAATTTAAACTATGAATTTGTTATACAAAGATCATTTGACTTAAATGTCACATTTTAGCTTATATGGTGAAGATGTTGATTCCTGTCCCCTGTTTTACTTTTCAGCTCTTCCAACATATATGTGACAGATTCGTCACATGAGAACCCCTCTATTGAACAATCTGCCACTGTTCTGTGTTCTTCACTATCCTTTGACTGATGTGGTTTTATGTTATTTTTCTCCTAGAATCTTATCGTTGTTAATTCTTACCTCCATAATCTTTTTAGTGTGAACTGGAAGTCATCAATTAAGAAGTATGAGATAAATGCCCAGTTAAGATTCTTCATATAAAATTTCAGAATAGTATACATGAAAGTGTTAATTAACCATAGGATAATTCAGGAGAAAAATTACAATTGGGTTCCTTCTTTTCTAAGACTTCAGTAGTTGATCTGCCTCTTTTAATCACTCTTTGGTTTCCCACTGTTCATTCTCAGTTATTTAGGTTTCACATTTTCATAGAATTACAGATATTCCATACTTAAAAACTATGGTTTGAATAAGTATATTTTATTTGGAAATTATCTAAATTTCATAATTTTTGCCCCAAAGGAATAATTATCCCAAGCTAAAAGCTACTTTTCCTCCCTTCTACCAAAGCACAAACAAAACTTGGGCTCTCATTATATCATATTTGTGTTATCCTTTTCCTTGTACATATGTCTTATCTCCTGTTTTGGTTGATAACATTCAATTTTTTTCAATATGATTATCATAATGCTTTATAACAAGAAGATAGTAAGAGACATTAATGAATAAGTATATCATCAAACTATAAATAGAATTAGAGCAATTTTAAAATAAATATTGATGAACACAACAACCTTATATATAATGCTTTAATTTTTATGTTTTAATTTCTATTAGCTTATGCAAGCAGGTGCTGTATGTAGGCCCGTTGCACATCCTGAATGTGATGTTTCTGAGGTTTGTAATGGAAGCTCAGGAAGCTGTCCGGCTGATATAACTATACACAATGGACACAAATGTAAAGGAGGAAAAGCTTTTTGTTTTGATGGAGGCTGCCAAGATCTTGATGCACGTTGTGAGAGCATATATGGAAAAGGTATTGTATTGTAACATCTATGTAGTTGGTGCTCATTATTTTTATTAACATTACCAAGACAATGGACAATTATATATATTTAAATTCTTTATTCTGTTTAACTCTCTATTTTTATTTTTTTGAGCTTATTAAGGTATAAATGAGAAAAATATGTTTAAGGTGTACAACGTAATGTTTTGATATACATATACGTTGTGAAGTAGTTGCCACAGTCATCTACTTAACATATTCATTGCATATGTATACCCAGGAATAGGCTTACTGGATCATAAGGTAGTGCATTTAAATTTTTGAGAAGGCTGTCTACTGTTTTCCATAATGGCTGTACCAATTTTCATTCCCACCAACAGTATATAAAAGTTTCCTTTTCTCCACATCCTTGTTAATACTTATTATCTTTTTCTTTTTGATAACAGCTATCCTAAAAGCTGTGAGTTGTGGTTTTGATTTTCATTTCCCTGATGATTAGTGATGTTGAGCTCTTTTTCACATATCTGATGGTCATTTGTATGTCTTTTATTTCAAGAAATGTCCATTTAGGTCCTGTGCTATTTTTATTTTTATTTATTTATCTATTTATTTATTTTGCGGTACGCAGGCCTCTCACCGCTGTGGCCTCTCCCGTTGTGGAGCACAGGCTCTGGACGCGCAAGCTCAGCGGCCATGGCTCACAGGCCTAGCCGCTCCGCGGCACGTGGGATCTTCCCGGACCGGGGCACGAACCCGTGTCCCGTGCATCGGCAGGCGTACTCTCAACCACTGCACCACCAGGGAAGCCCCTCCTGTGCTATTTTTAGATCTCATTATTTGTCTTTTTTATTGAGCTGTATGAGTAACATATATTTTGGAGATTAATCCCTTATCAGATATATGGTTTACTAATATTTTCTCCCATTCTGTAGGTTCCATTTTTGCTTTGTTGATTGTTTCCTTTGCTGAGAAGTTTTTTAGTTTTATGCAGTCCCACTTATCTATTTTTGTCCAGTTTAGTGTCCAAGAGCTTTCTCCCTATGTTTTCTTCTAGTAGATTTGTAGTTTCAGGTAAGTTTAAGTCTCCTCAACCACCTGCTTTATTGAGATACAATTGGCACATAACATTGTGTAAGTTTTAGTTGTACAGCGCATTGATTTGGTACTTTTATATATTTCAGGGTCATTACCTCCATAGTGTTAGCTAAACGTCCGTTGTGTCACATAATTACCATTTCTTTTTCATGGTGAGAACATTTAAGATCTACTCTCTTAGCAACTTAGCTAATTCTTGTCAAATATTAGTTTGAGAACCCCTCTCTTGAATCATCTGAGAGTCTCAATGCGTTTCTGTGGCTTTATGGGAAGTTTACTATAACTAGTTGCTGGAGGAAGAAAAAATTAAGGCCTGGTGCAGATGAGTCTGCTCAGTATTTGACACCATTTGGAAGTGGATTCCCTCTGCATAATTATAACCTCTCTCAGAGGTGTTTTCAAAAAATGATGTAGGAAAATTCTCTTATTGTGTAGAATTCTAGCCGTGTATGTGGTTTCCTACTTTGTCCGAAAGAGAGAAATTCAGAGGCAGTATTGATATTTGACAGTGACTCATCATGTGCAGTTAATTAGGACTTGAAAAAATAATATTAAAAAATTGATAACAAGAAGTTCTGGAGAAGGTGTATGTGGTTGTGCCTGTCAGGTAGAGCAGGGAATGTGAAGATATTTGTGTTGCATGTAAAGTTCAACACAGGGCATGCCACATAGAGGAGGCTATGTATAATCAGATAAATAACATTATCTGTCCTGTGAATGCTAGCATTTTGTCCCAGGTACCCTAGTACTTTCATAGCGAATCCATGTACAAAGAGTTTATGGCTGCAGGGATGGAGACAATGTGTGGGTTCAAAAATAGAATTTCCCTCAGCAAGATCATCTGATTACTTTTGTTGCTTGGTTAACAACCATGGGCTAAGTCAGCAGCAATGGGCCAAAATTCAGATTCTGATATAGCACAATGCTGTGACAGACTGGCCAGCCACTGTGCCAACTTGATGACATTAGATCTCTCCCAGCACATAAAGGGCAGCAATTTCCTCTCATTGGAATAGAGACATAATGTGGATATGGATTTACCTTTCAGATATCATATTTCTACTAGCAGCATTAACCATGAACTTCTAAAAATTGGGATATAATTATGTAAAGTGAACTTCATAGATCTGAAGTGTATATTTTGATGTAATTCTCACTTCAATTAAAGACTAGAAAATTTTCATCAGCTCAGTAAGTTCCTTTCTATCTCTTTTCAGTCAGTTCCTTTAAGGCAATAATGGTTATCTTTCCTATTATCATATGTTAATTTTACCTGTTCTTGAACTTCATATAAATGAAGTATTTCATCATATGAGTATTCTACAGATGGTTTTTACATTCTCATATTTATGGACATTTGGATTGTTTCTAGGTTTTTTTTCTATTATGAATAGAGGTGTTATGAGGCTTCATATATAAGTCTTTTTGTAAATATATGTTTCTGTTTCTTCTGAGTAAAGATTTTGGAGTGGAACTGCTGTCTTAAGAGTAGCTGTATGCTTAATTTTATGAGAAACCTGCTCACTGTTTTCTAAAGTCATTATACTACTTCTTATCTCTACCAGCAACATGAGAACTTCAGTTGCTCCATGTTCTTGGTGACATTTGATGTTGTGAGTCTTTTTAATTTTAGTCACTGTATTGGTTGTAAAATGGTAGTTGATTCTGGCTTTAGTTTGCATTTCTGTCATGATTGATATCAAAGATGTTGAGCACATTATTTGGTGCTTATTGACTACATATATGATATATGGAATATGTATATTTTCCGTTTGTAGTGTTCGTTCACATCTTTGCCCATTTTTAATTGGGTTTTTGCCTTTTTATTATTTATATGTGTAATTTATACATTCTATATTCAAATGCATTTTAAGATATAAGTATTGTATTTTTTCCCCAATATGCAGTTTCCCATGTACATTTTTAATGGTGATTTTTGATAAGAAAACTTTAATTTTGAAGAGGTTTAGTTCATCAAATTTTTTCTACAGTTTTTCTAAGAAGTATTTGCCTACTCCAAAGTCATCCACATATTTTCCTGTTTTTCTCTGAGGTTTTGATTTAACTTTTATTTTTATTTATTTAAACTTTTCAAAAATTTTTATTGGAGTGTAGTTGATTTACAGCATTCTGTTAGTTTCACGTGTACTGTAGAGTGAATCTGTTATACGTATATGTATATCTACTCTTTTTTAGATTCTTTTCCCATATGTGCTATTACAGAGTATGGAGTAGAGTTCCTTCTGCTATTCAGTAGGTCCTTATTAGTTATCTACTTTATATATAGTAGTGTGTATATGTCTGTCCCAATCTTCCAGTTTATCCCTCCCCTGCCCCTTACCCCCTGGAAACTATAAGTTTATTTTCTACATCTGTAACTCTATTTCTGTTTTGTAGATAAATTCATTTGTAACCTCTTCCATATATAAGTGATATCATACGACATTTGTCTTTCTGTGTCTGACCCACTTCACTCAGTATGACAATCTCTAGGTCCATCTTTGTTTGCTGGAAATGACATTATTTTGTTCTTTTTTATGGCTGAGTAATATTCCATTGTATATATGTACCACATCTTCTTTATCCATTCCTCTGTTGATGGACATTTAGGTTGCTTCCATGTCCTGGCTATTGGCCATTGTGAATAGTATGCTGCAGTGAACATTGGGGTGCATGTAACTTTTTGAATTATGGTTTTCTCCAGATATATGCCCAGGACTGGTATTGCTGGATCATATGGTAGCTCTATTTTCAGTTTTTTAAGGAACTTCCATACTGTTCTCCATAGTGGCTGTACCAGTTTTCATTCCCACCAACAGTGTAGGAGGGTTCCCTTTTCTCCAGACCCTCTCCAGCGCTTATTGTTTGTAGATTTTTGATGATGGCCATTTTGACCTGTGTGTGGTGATACCTCATTGTAGTTTTGATTTGTATATCTATAATAATTACTGATATTGAGCATCTTTTCATGTGCTTTTTAACCATCTGTATGTCTTCTTTGGAGAAATGTCTATTTAGATCTTCCACCCATTTTTTGATTGGGTTTTTTTTTTTTTTTCTGATATTGAGCTGCCTGAGCTGTTTGTATATTTTAGAGATTAATCATTTGTTGGTGGCTTCATTTGCAAATATTTTCTCCCATTCTGGGGGTTGTCTTTTACTTTTGTTTACCATTTCCTTTGCTGTGCAAAAGCTTTTAAGTTTAATTAGGTCCCATTTGTTTATTTTTGTTTTTATTTCCTTTACTCTAGGAGGTGGATTGAAAAAGATCTTTCTGCGATTTATGTCAGAGAGTGTTCTCCCTATGTTTTTCTCAAAAGTTTTATAGTATCCGGCCTTACATTTAGGTCTTTAATACATTTTGAGTTTATTTTTGTGTATGGTGTTTGGGTGTGTTCTAATTTCATTCTTTTACATGTAGCTGTCCAGCTTTCTCAGCACCACTTATTGAAGAGACTGTCTTTTCTCCACTGTATATTCTTGCCTCGTTTGTTGTAGATTAGGTGAACATAAGTGTGTGGATTTATTTCTGGACTTTCTATCCTGTTCTATTGATCTATATATCTGTTCTTGTACCAGTACCACACTGTTTTGATGACTGTAGCTTTGTAGTATAGTCTGAAGTCAGGGAGCCTGATTCCTCCAGCTTTGTTTTTCTTTCTCAAGATTGCTTTGGCCATTCAGGGTCTTTCCTGTTTCCATACAAATTGTAAAATGTTTTGTTCTAATTCTGTGAAAAATGCCATCGGCAATTTGACAGGGATTGCATTGAACCTGTAGCTTGCTTTGGGTAGTATAGTCATTTTCACAATATTGATTCTTCCAATCCAAGAACATGGTATATCTCTCCATCTGTTTGTGTCATATTCTATTTCTTTCATCAGTATCTTATAGTTTTTGGAGTACAGGTCTCTTGCCTCCTTAGGTAGGTTTAT